ATAAGAACTCATTTTAACACCCTCTTTTTAGTCAGCACTTGTGGCTTCTTGAAATGATACTAATTTGCCATCTTGTAGATACGAAGTTAAGCTCTTAGGAAACTGAGTTTTATATCCTGTTGCAAATCTAACCACTTAAAGAAATAAAAACAGAAAACTCCTAAGAAGACTGTGAACTATCTTCTAGCATTTATGCAACCATTTTCTTGTGTTTTATAATTCAATCAGCCAGGCTAAATATCTTCATTAGTTCTCTTTTCCTTCTCTTGCTTACATTCTCTGTTCCTAAGATCCCACTGTGAATATTTCATTTCTGCTGAGAGTGTATTTCCTTGACTTTCTATTTAAAACAAGTTGTAATTTGCTCCTGGTTGTAGTAAAATATCCCTGGTGAGGTAGGACTCAGCAAGATAAGAAGGTGATACATTTCATTTAAACTTGACAAAAGAAAGCCTACTGTGGCTATGAATTTTTTACTTTTGGTATCATGTAGGGCTACTCCTTTATTAAAATATTAAGTTATGAATAGGAGCGTTTAAAGGTTTCCAGTGCTTTTCTAATAGGAACATTTATGCTTTAGCAAATGTCTGCATTAAAGCAGCACCCTGATTTTGCAAAATGTTAGAAACAAAAGAATGTATAAGCCAACAATGTACCTTTAAATCAGGTCACTTAGTTTTCTTTAGAAGAATGACTTCTGTGTCTTATTTTCCTACAAATACATATGGAAATTTATTTTCTATTTTTTCCTCCTTTGACTTGTTAGATTCCAGTGCTTTCTTCTCAATATAGTACTCCAGTTCTTTTCACAACTCCACCCTGTAAATACACACACGTGCACACACACACATTCACACACATACATACTCTCACATGTTTTCTTTTTCTGCCTAACTGGAGATCGCTTTTCCCAATAAACATAGACCTGGCTGTAAATTAGGTGCCATTGGAAATTGTCATAAACTCTGAAATTATTTCCAAGTGTTTAATTCACTTCCAGGAAAAGCTGGTTCATATTTTATGAATTTCCTAGATATAGGACTGATTTGCTTAATACAAAAGAGAATTTCTGTACATATAAAAATAAAATGACCTAAGGATTTCTATGCCTTACTCTTAAAAAATGCAAAGACACCCATGAATCAAAATAAAAACACTTAAAAGAAGGTAACAATTTCTTATCTCTGGGGCTCCTTTGGCCATTTTATAGAAGAGGCAGGATTCATCAATGCTCTAGTTTATTTCTATTCTTGATGAGGATTTTTGTCTTTACACTTCTGCTGATTTGGGATCTGGGTTATCTTTAAGACAATTTTCAGTCTTCAGCATCTTATTGACACTGAAAAGGACTCAGCTGTGTCTTTTTCTTATATGCTTGTCTGTAAAATGTCATGGTGACAAGTTTAAGCAAATTGTTTTTATTGCTGATTATGTTCACTTTTTTCCTTTTTAAAATTGTATTGAAAAATAGTATGCTTGCAGAAGAGTATAAATATCCTAAGGGTAGAGCTGAATGAATTTTGCATAAATGAACACCTCATATAATAAGAATCTGATCAAGAAATAAAACATTACCAGTAACCTAAGATTTTATGTGGGGGGAAGGAAGGAGCTTTTAAATTCTATCAGATGGCTTGTATTTTCTGATACTTGCCATTTTTAATAGACTTTTTATTTTTATTTTAGAGTAGTTTAGGGTTCACAGCAAAAAATGATCCTCACTTTTTTAAAAAGATTTTATTTATTTATTTACTTGAGAGAGAAGGAGAGAGAGCACGTGAGCAGGGGAGGAGTGGATGGGGAGGGAGGAGAGAGAATCTCTAGCAGTCTCTACTCTGAGCAGGGAGCCCAAAGCAGGCTCCAAGCGGGGGGCTCCAAGTGGGGGGCTTCAGCTGGGGCTCTGCTCCATCCCATGATCCTGAGATTATGACCTGAGCAAAAACCAAGAGTGGGTCCCTCAACTAACTGAACTACCTAGGCTCCCCAAATAATGTTCACTTTTAATCTTGATAAATAGTAGTGGGAACTCTTAGTTTTTTTGGCTTTCACATTTTGCACTTTGTCTTCCAGTGTGTCTCTGAGCAATATGGTGAATAAACTAGACCGGCTATACAAATTTGTCTTCTAGGTTTTAAAATGATGAGAATCATCAGTAGTTCCCATATGGTGTCCTCCATTTTGACACTTTGGGCTTCATGCAATGTCATGGTGTTGATGGCCACCCAAATATATTTAGCAGCTGTCAGATTCCAGGCTTAAAAAAAAAAGTATAAGGTATCACTGCACATTATTAATTAATACAGACTTCTGGCATAGGAGATTTTTCTTGTACTGCCTGTCCCTGTTTTACTGATGATCATATGGCTACCGACTTTCTTCTAGACCCTGCCACTTGCCCATGTTCCTGCAGGATTCTGCCTCACAGCTGCCTGCACAAAGCTCAGGGATAAGGCAACGAGACAGGCAAACTAAAAAGGCCCATGATAGTTTCATTTGGTGTTTATGTTCTGAAATCCTCAAACCCAAATATGCAGAGTTACCCCCTATACACATACTCTATTTAGCTCATCAAGTGTGATTCTCTTGGAGTCATTAGTTCTTTCTTTTTGGCTGGAAAACAGGTCTTAAAAAAAAGAAAGAAAGAAAGAAGCTGTCATTAAGTTCATTTTATGTTTGCCATCTCTTCTTACATCTGGTAATCCTCAAATAACTACACAGAAAGGGTAGTTATCCTTTACCATATCAGTTGCAAATTGTTGGAAACACATGGAATGGAGGTGTGGAGGAGGCTGAGGCCCTCAGAGGGCATATCTGTGGTCAGTGCGGCACTCAGAGGGCCCTGCTCCGGTGTCCTTCAGAGTCACATGTGAGGCTTCATGAACTTCGGTCAAGAGGAAAAAATTCAGGACTTTCTCATTCTGTACATGCAAGGATTTTTATTGTGGATTGTGCCTCTACAAATTAGAGGCTTCTTGGAATCTGCATTCTCAGTTTTAAAGAGGTCCTAAAGGATCAAAAAGCAAAAGCCTTTTTGCTGTGAACCGTGGTACAGAAGAGCCTTAAGACTCATCGTTTGTCTTTGGTTTTGGTTCATTTTTCATAGTGATTGATATGTAAGTTTCCTAGGACTGCCATAACAAAATGCCACAAAATGACTAGCTTAAAACAACAGAGGTTTATTCTTTTTTAGTTCTGGAGTCCAGAAATTTGAAATCACGATGTTAGCAGGGTCATAGTCCATTTGAAGGTTGTCTGGGAGAATGCTTCCTTGAGCCTTCCTAGGCTCTGCTCCTTGCCCGCCATCCTTGCTGTTCCTTGGCTTGAGGCTGCATCTCCAAATCTCTGCTTCTGTTGCCCCATGGCCTCTTCCCTCCATCTCTGTCCCTCTAGCTCCAGATTTTTCTCTTCTTATGAGGACACCAGTCATTGGATCAGAGCTCCTCTTCATCCAGTAAAACTTCATCTGAACCTGAATACATCTACAGATATCCTATTTCCAAATAAGTTCGCATTCACAGGTACCAAGAGTGAGGACTTCACTGTACCTTTTGAGGAATCCATTGTCCATTATGTCCAAATTCCAGAGCCATGATTTATTCTAAGGAAATAGATTAAGTCCAATAAATTAATAATATATTTCACCACCAAATTTTCACTCGCCAAATCAGAACATCTATTTATTTAGTTCTTTTGTACATGTGGCTTGAACTTCTTTAACCCCTCTTGCCTCTTGACATAGATCAGCAGTGCTTGGTAAGAAGATTAAACCACTGTTTTAGAAGGAGTTTACATGTCACTGAGAAGCAGCTGCTAACTATGGATGAATATGGAGAGGTTCTTTCATTTCATGTAAAGTGGTCTAATGTGCAGTAATCATTGCCCAAGTAGCCTTAACTCAGGGCAAGGAGTTAACATGACAGATGTTTTTGACTGAAGGACAACAGAAATACCCCTTCAGGGGAGTTCTATCACCAACAGTAAATCAATATTCTTTAGGGGTTTATGTTTGATTGCTAATTAACTGCTTACTAAGGTAGGCTTGTTTTGAAAATTAATGTAGTCATGATTTAAATGGAGTGACTTTGGTTCAAAACTGAAAAATGATGCAGCTCCATTTCTGTTTTGAACAAAACATGTTACTTTATTAACATGTATAATCGTTCTAAAGTAGTAATATTTTATATTAAATTGTATATTTTAATAATTGTATATTAAATTAATATGGAGTGAGAAATCCCTAGATGCCTTTAGCAAATTTGTATGATTCCAATAATAACTATCACCTCAATTTTAAAAATCACTATTTAATGCACTATGTTATAACACCTTAATTTAAACTTGTGACCAAGATGGATAAAAATACCAGTTTAGGTTCATACATGTTGAAAAGTAAATAACACATTATATGATTATACACTAATTTAATGTAGAGCTGATAAATACAATATAAAGATAAATTTTTATAATCATAATCATCTTCTTATATTTATATCCTGCTCCTACTGAGCTGAATCTCTGGTTACATTTACATATTGAATTACAAAGTTAAAACTAATGATGGGATCAATTATGCCCCATACTGAGCTGTGCACTTTGGAATGACTTTGAGAAAACAGGAGGGTCAAAAAAGAAAAAAAAAAAAGCATCCACAGTGCACAGTGGTTTCAAGATTATGCTAACAGATAAGCAAAGGAAGAGACAATAATTTGTGTTTGTCAAAGAAATCAGGCTTTTATTGGTGTAAAACCTAAACTATATTTTTAATATAAACATTTCTCAGAATTCGAAAATATATAGTCTGGGTCACAGAAGTTGCTGAATGGTGGATTTAAGGTAGATATATAAGGGCAAATGTAACATCATTCCCTTTATGATCCTCTTAATTGTTCTTGGAATTCTTTTGATGCATTTTTAATGCATTTGCTGTATCTCGGTTGAAATATCTGCTCCATATTTGCTATTGTCATTCCAAATGATAGTGTCTTCTTTCTCTTTCCTAGCTGCATAATAAATGTGCTTCTCATCTCAAACCTGAATGTGACTGCGGACCTTTGAAGGACCATATTTTACCACCCACAACAATCTGTCCAGTAGTACTGGTGAGTTTTTCCTTCTCATCATTCTGCTCTAACTTGGCATTTTTATGACAAACTGGTATGCTATACCACTAAATGCTTCCAGGGCTGATTTTCCATTGATCAAGGCAGCGCTCTATAGATCTAAAATACCTCATTAGTGCCGAGTAGACACCTTTGCCCACTATATTTCCTTTTTTCTTCATGGCACAATAAACGTTTTAGTAAGGTATGCTCTAACTGAAGCTGACTCAGGCTTTACCACTTAGTCATGCTGTACTTACCAGAAATTGTATAGGCAGAACACTTCTACATTTTACATGTTTTATAGATCTAGCTTCCCAGAATAATGAAGTTATTCTTATGGGCAATTTTGCTGGGGATGCACATTATATATCTGCAATGTTGAGTTCTTCTATCTAGGTCAGAGGCTACCTAGAATGAGGACACATATGCTAAAGAAAGTTATGTACTGCCATTAGGTGTATTTTATTTTTTATTAGTGAACAATAAATTTAACCACCTGCAAAATACTTAATTAAATAAATATGTAAGTGGGAAATGCATAACTGAGGCAGCCCAGAGAAGAGCAAAACTTGATAGAAAGAGAAGTAGTTATTCAAAGGTAATATTCATATTACATTTTGAAATCCAAATTGTTTCCTAAGTGAAACACTTATTTTACAAAACAAACTATTTTATATCCATAATGCAGTTCGCATTTTTAAAAATGACATGGAAATTAAGTGGCTGGAACTTTAGCTTGGATATAATAAAAATACAACAACTAAGAAATGTTAGACAAATACTTTTCTAAAGGTCAACCTAGAAATTAATCAAATTACTCAATTTGCACCCACTTATGATTCATTTTGTAATTATCTGTAAAATACTGGTTGTATTTTAAATGTCTTTATTTAAAAATTATTTAAAACTCTTCATTTTCTCAAACTACAAATATAGAGCAAAAGAAAATACCTCCACATTGCTGAGGATAGCAATAACTAATTCTAAGTTTCCTTTTTTCATGTGAGATTCATTAGACATTCTGTAGTAAATAAGATTAATTAAAAATAATGAATGCCATATAAAAATATATTTTAGATGAATTTGGGTGTTATTTTATTCTTTCATAGTGTTGTCTTAAAGAGAAAGGACTTGTACAGTTTTTACATGTTTACATTCTTTTTAAAATTATAGTAATTTTACTAGTTTTGATGCAACCTTGATCTCAGATTTTAACCCTAGAAAGAAATTCATCATGCCGCCCTACCATCTGGCTGCCTATATAAAACCCTACTCAGTTCATTGAACCAGGGGACTACACTTATGTCAACCTCTGGTCACATAAAGTCAAGCATGAATTGCATTCTTTTTATTTCTCTATCTTTTCTTTCTTTGAGAGAATCAAAGGTAAAGAACATGTGTTACATGAATATTCTTATCTTCTAACGATCTTACAAAACGCTCTCTTTTTTTTTTTAGATACTCTTGATTCTGAAGATTTATTTTCAAACATTAAATCTTCCTACACTTTTAATCATGATTTGCATCTCAACATTTGCTCTTTTATCATTTCCTTGGTACTACCTACTCTATAATATTTGGCACTATTGACTACTTCATCCTTCATGAATGCCTATCTTTCACTGACTGCCATTATACCACACTCTCTTGGGCTTTCTTCTGTTTCTCTGGATACTTCCTTTTTATCTTTCCTGGCTTTCATGACTTCATCCTGCTCCATGCTGGTGCATCCCTTTGCTCAACCCTCATATGTCATAGCTTTTCACTCTTAACATTCTTCCCAGTGGGATCTTGTTTATTTAGTTGACTTCATTATTATGTTAATTTATATTCAGTTCATCCTCCATCCATAGGTTTGCATCTCACACCTATAAAGCTGCAACTTGAAGGTCCCATGCTGTCTCACATGCCTAATATATTATCATTATTCAATGTACTAATGGTAGCTCGTATATAGAGAGCACATATACCATACCAGCTACTATGCTAAACATATTCATTCATTAATTCAGCAAGTATTTATTGAGTGTCTAGTTGATGCCAAATGGTATTATAGGTAGGAGGGTAAAATGGTAAAAGCTAAACTAAATCTTTGCTTTTGTGGAGTTTTCATTCCAGCAATAAACAATGAAATAAAATTATTTCATACCTGGTTGTACTTTAAATATAAAGGACAAAATTGAAGCAAGAAGAGAAGAAATGTGGGGCTGTAGTTACGAAAGGGGTAGTCAAGAAAGAGTTCACTAAGGGGATAGTTGAATGAACAGGTGAAGGATGTGAGGGAGTCACCCACATGACTCTCTGGGGATGGAACTTCACAGAGGAGTCACCAAGGATGGACAAGTAAAGACTCAGAGGCAGGAGAAAACTGTCCTATCTGAAGGGCATCAAGGAGATTATTGGCTGGGCCTAAGTGAAAAAGAGGAGGAATAGTAAAGGAGAAGGTCAAAAATGTCATAAAATTTTCATACCTGTAGGGCAATTTAGGCCATTGTAAGGTCTTTAGCTTTTATTCTGAGTGAGGTTGGAAGCTGTTAGAGGATTTTGACCAGAAAAGGGAATGATCTGACTCATATATATATTATTAAAAAGAACAATGTAACTGTTGAGGGGGCAGCAATGAACAAAAACATATGTGACACTTCTCTTTTCTCAGAGAATTAGGAACCTGGGATATTGCTGAGAGCAAGGACGGTATACAATGTTTGAGAAGTTTGAGGATTGGGAAGAAGTCACACAACAGGCACTGAAGAAAGTGGGAGCTTAACAGATCGAGGAAATACCATTTGTTTGGCAGGGAGTAATGAGCAGCCACTTGTTTGTCATCATAAATTTAGAATAAAACCAGTAAGCTTGGATGAGTATATTTCTCTGGTCACATACAGTCATATTTCTCCAGTTTAGTCTAGTTCCAGCAGTAGGATAGGCATAGCCTAGCCTTAAGGAGACTGTGTTTTGCTAAATATGATAAAAAGAGAGAGTAGCCAGGGAGTTGAGGGTATATGCAATAGAGTGAGTGTAAGGATTGACCATGGAATTTAAGCTGGGAGGTGAGGGAAGTAAGGACATGAAGAGGGAGGTACAATAATGGGTGTTACGAAGAATATGTTGTAGATTATAGTTGAATCCAAGATTGTTGAAATCAGGGACGCCTGGGTGCCTCAGTCGGTTAAGCGTCTGCCTTCAGCTCAGGTCATGATCCCGGGGTCCTGGGATCGAGTCCCGCGTCGGGCTCCGTGCTCGGCAGGGAGCCTGCTTCTCCCTCTGCCTCTGCCTCTCTCTCTCTCTCTCTCTGTCTCTCATGAATAAATAAATGAAATCTTTAAAAAAAAAAAAAGAAAACTTGTTTCTTTAAAAAAAAAAAAAGATTGTTGAAATCAAGGTTATCGGTGTCAGGTTGTGAGAGTGAGTGGGGTAGCAAACTGAGATTATGAAGGGGTTGTGGTCCCTGGTAATGATACGTATGAATTTGTTTAATCCTCACAATGACACCGTAAGATAAATATTATAACTATCTCCATTTTATTTATGAGTAAACTGAGAAACAGAGAGGTTAAGTAAATTTCCTGTGTCACATGGCTATGAGGTGACAGACCAGAATTGGAACCCAAGAAGTATCACTCCAAAACTCATGCGCTGAATTCATCATTCTCACCCTCTCTCCAAATCCCAAAACAGGTCCTCTCCCTCTCCTGTTTGTCTTATCTTGGTGACTAGAACATTCATATCTTAACTTTCCCAAGACAGAAACCTAAGAATTATCATTGATGACTCATCTTAAATATCGGATTAATCACTGGGCAGCCTATTCTAAAGTTCTCAATCCTTTTTCTTTTCTTCAGCCCAACTGTAACTGCCTCACATGTCACCATCACAAATTATTCTCCAGGATTGTCCTAATGGTATCCTTACTGAATTGCCTCCATTCCATACAGTCTTCATTCTGCGGAAACAGAATGGATCCACTTGCCAAAATGCAATCTAATATTTTCCTGCTTAAATATTTTAACATATTTAAAATAAGTAAATATCCAGTAATTCTCTATTTGAATTCCAGTTTATCTAGCATGGTAAGCAAGGCTCTAACTAGATCAACTCACCTAATCCCTCATATGCCAGTTGCACACTAGAAATCAAGGATAATTGGAACTACTGTAGTTCTCTTAAGTACACCCACTTTCTAAAGCTTTTGGAGTTTTGTATATGTTAATAAATCAGCCTGAATCTCTTTACTTTAAAATTTCCCCTGCCTTGCTAAGTAGAAAGTAAAGGTTACTTTTTTAGCCTGGAATAAATACTCATACTACTATTGGACCCATTAACTATTTAAATACTAATAATATAAAGAAATTATGCATTTGTTCTGCCCACAAAATTGCTTAATCTGTTCTGACTGGTGGGCTCTGAGACTTTTTAATTTGTAAATTCTCATTTGACATCCCAGGAATAACTCCGCACCATATCACCCATTGTAAATTTTTAACTTTTGTTTAAAGATTATCATTAGTTTTCACAAATAATATAATCCTGTTTTCCTTTTTGTTTTCAATAACAATTTCCTTCTTAAAAATTATGAGTCCTATTTTCTCATGCTGATATTCTTGAAGAAGAGCAGATGAGGTTCAGAATCACTGCAAGATGGACGTGAATAGAAGAAATCTCTCTCTATTCTAGGAAATATAAAATGAAGAACTTAAGATGCCTATTTTTATTGAGGTGTTTTTTTTTTCCTTTGCCTTGACTATATAGTCAGGGATTAGCTGTTGAATGAGTGACATAAACTTAATACAGAGCCTAATTCCTGGATGAAGCATCTAAATAACGCACTACAACGTCAAGGTCCACAGCAGCAGTCTTTTGATATTTTAGAACATCTTTTTAGGTGTTATTTATCTTTTAAAAAATCCTGCATCACATTTCTCAGCCTCCCAATTGCTCCCCAACACTTGTTATTAACTTCAAGTTAATGATTCAGTAGATATGTGCTCACCTGTTAT